TTTACATCGAAAGTTCAAATTCACCCAATGTCAATTCTTTAATAGTAATACAATTTAATCGTATGATTCAATGGTATTGAGTACACGATGACATAATTGATTTTAACAGGGTATGTTGGTTGCATGAATTACCTTAATCGCATACTTGTGTTCTAGCGATGCATATCGTACCGTATTGTTTGGATATTGGTCGACTGAATCGACAAACTAGTGCAGACTGACGCTTGATAATAACATTTTCTTTGGGATTAATCAAATATGTGTATAATGGGTGGGTATGTGTGTCTATGAAGGTGATTGTAAAGAGTGGAGATTATAGAGAATTGAACACAGCAGAATAATAACTCCCATAATATTCGATTTCGTACGACCTGGCACGATTATCAATCAAGCGGCCTTAATAATCTCAGTTCCCCAACTCACTTAGCAACAATAAAAGAACGCAAAACTCCAACTCACTTAACACAAAGATGGTTTTGCTTACCACCATTAGAAACTTTTTTACCGTCATCGGAGACTTTATCAAAGACTTTGTATGGCTTGGGTCTTCTGAAGCCGAGCCTGTTTCAGTTAGAGTGCCCAAGAGATGGTTCAAGCTGATTTTAATGCTAGGCGTTGCTGGTTACTTTGTCTGGAAATGTATTCAGCTGGCAAGCACCGAAGTATCTGTAAGCACTTCTCGGGACAAAATTGATTCAATCCCGATGCCTAGTACGTGATTTTATTATTTGTAATAAACATGATGATGTAAATGCTAACCGTCATACATTTATTAGTTTTAGAATTCAGTTCCGATTATAACTTTACAATCGTTTGCTACACAGTACATATGGGTACTTACCACAATAACTGCACGGTTTCACAAATATTACCATCATTAACTTGACTTTTTGTAGACTATTCCATTAATGTGCTACCCGCTTTTGGTCCAGATAAAATTGACACCGCCAACAGATATGTGGCAAGATTCGAACAAGGTTTAAATTTTGGAATCCCGAGTACCAAGTTTGATGAGACGCTGAGTAGTATTGAATTTGATATTACTATGCAAGATCAGTTTTATTCAATTAGCAGTTCAGATGCTCGAGTACAAGTGAACTTGTTTGATCCCAGTACTTAAGATTTATTATATTGATTATGTGAAGTTGTTTTTTTCATAAAAGATGGTAATTGATACTAACAACAAATGATAATACTTGACTATACCAGACGCGGAAGAAATTTACAACTCACCGGGAGACCAGCCAGAAGTCGTGTCTGATTATGTGGCCACGTTGTTTAACGCTAATCTATACAATATAGCTAAAGGCTTTGTTAGTATGTTTTCGTATAAATCTTATGAACAATCAATTGAATTCGCCACGATAATATATAAACGAATGATAATTTTCTTAGAACTCCGATATCGGCATGGAGCGCTCTTTCCGTAAGGTCCTCCTTCCAGATGCACGGAATATCATTGTTGGACAGGCTACTTACGCTGACATAAACCTGCTGGCGACCAGAATCGGTATGTAAAAGCTATGCAACTATTGTAATAAAGAACAATTTGTATCAAAGTAAAAATTAACTGATAAAAAAAACTTGCAGCTCCGGCTCCGCTTATTACTTCCGATAACACAATTTATGCGGTTGTCACTGTCCACCCCACGTCTTATATAGTTAGAACGGAAACTGAAAATTCGTAAGTATGCGTCGAAGTCTATGATATTACTTGATGTAATTGAAGACAATTATTATTCAACAGTTTACAATATCTAATTCTGTTTAATTGCCAGTAACTTGTCACTGCTAGACGTATTAAGTGCGGTAGGTGGTATATATGGTACGGCAATGACATTCTATGTAATACTATTTGGTATGTAAGCATTTATCCTATGTTTTTGCCATATAGTACACATGTACTCGTTTACGCTAAAATCTCAATTATTTTGTTACTCTACCAAAAAACAGGCGCTGACAGAGTGGGAGCGCCTTGGGGTTTGTACCAAATAATACCTCTCGTCAAAAGGGATGTCAGGAAGGAACTTGTTGTGCTAGCAGAAGCCGGTCTATTCAAAGGTTCGTTAATCCATAAAGCCGGTGCGAATCCAGAAACAAGCAATGAAGAAATCCCAGAGAAAGAAGATGTAAAGCAGCCACCAGGAACAGTTAATAGATCAAATGTCTTGTCTTTAGAAGAAAAACAAGCTGCAATGGAAGAAAGACAAACTATAATGGAAAACAGACAAATTGCACTTGAAGTTTTTTTGAAAGATTACGTTTTAGAAGTAGATTATTTTTATGAGGAATAGAACATATGCTCATTTAATTGTTCATTAACAGTTTGTTTGGAGGTAGAAAATATAAAATGTATTAAATCAAATTTCTCTCTATTGCTATTACTACCTAATTATTAAAGTTTGTAACGCTACAAGATAAATTTGACCTAATATGGAAAACTGCATCGAGTAGATTTGATGACGAAGAGTCGGGCGAAAAGTCTAATTGGTTACTTTGTTCTGTAACTTGATGGCAAAAATTTCGTTCACATAATTGTTTTTTCTGAATAGAAAGTGTGAAAATAAAACTCCTCAAATTACTTTATTTAACTCAGGAAATAGTATTAGGGAAAAATACCTATAAACAAACGGTTCAAAATAAAACAGATATAAACTCCTCATCTGACAATTACACATTGCTTAAATCTCCCTAAAATTGGTGGATTGGAAATATTCCGGTTTTTTTGTTTTTTTTGAGACAGACTGTATAAGGTGCGCTAAATTCAGCATTAATTTCACGGTGATTGCATTGCTCGCTATGCCCATATTCTCATTTAATTGCAAATGTAGGGAGGTGGTCGATGACTTTTGAGACGGGAGTATACCTGCAATTCTATGTACAGTATAAGGTCAATCCAAACCAACCTCCGAATAACTGCTGAACAACGTACAGTACGTATAACTTTTTTTATTTTCGCAATAAAATTCTTTGTTTTTTTTTGCCCGTGGCGACTATATAGCTCTGAACCATTTGCTGTGAGATGTTATTTCTACTTTTTGAAACGAAAATTTAGTTCTCTTCTTATAACTCCAAAACAGTAGAATTCATAGTATGCAAGAAAAACAAACATTCCTGATTACGTAACAAGCAATTCCGATAATCTATTGATCATTCAATCCAAATTCCCACTTGATGAAGAGTATTCCGAATATTATTTTTCTGAAAATCGTAATACTTTTATCAAGGGAAGATAGATTATTCTTCTGACAATTATCGTTATTCACTATACAAGTCTTTATTTCTAATTACCTTCGTAAAACTGTCTTAATAAATCCTTTTTATTGGTTCGTGGGGCTATAACACCCAGTCTTTTGTCACGGAAATCATTTTAACCTCTGTTTAACGTTAAAACGAGTATTTGATTCTCTTAGACAATACAAAAATAGTAAAATTCATACAGTGCCAAGAATTCCCGATAATCTATCGTTAGCACTGATTTTTTTATTCTTCCTCATCAACGCATAACAATCCGAGAGAATCATATGTTGGTTTTTTTTTTTGTTTTGCTTTAACTGTTCGTCAATTGAACAAAGTGAAGTAATTGTATGCATTTGTTGCGTCTTCTAAGATTATATTTGCGGAATTCACAGATAGACGACACAATTAATTACCCTACATATTATTTGATAGACAAAAATCTTTGTGGTTTCATTCAAATCTCTGCTGAATCAAAGATCTCGGCATTAATAATATTGTTTGTTGACATAAATTAAAGACGCCGTATTGTAATAAACCGTGTTTTGACTATAAACAAGCTATGTTCGTTCATATAACTACTAAAGAATGCAGAGATCAATTAGCATTACGCGATTGATA